TTTTCCAGTCGTCCCTTTGGAGCAAAAGGTCCCTTTGGAGCAAGAGCATGCTGTGAGCATGCTCTGCCAGGTAGCCATGCCCGCGTTCGATCTGTACATCGTTGCTTAGGCACGGTCTTTACGCTGTGGAGTCGGTTTGGAGCTGGAGTCAGCGCAGCGAATCCTCGGGTCCACTCGTGGGCTCTGTTTTGGGCGGCGTTCGAGCTCAACGGTTTCAATGCCCACAAGAGCAAAGCCCGTTGCAGCTCAGCATGGTGGATGTGCAGAGTGATCGCACCACCTTGCGGGAGAAACGTGGCAACGATGCCGCCGACGAATCCGTGAAGCGGGGTGCCGCCCTCCATGAAGTGGAGGAGCGCGAGTAGCATCTCTGGCGTGGCCTGGTCGAGGCCTCTAGGGAGGTGGGTCGGTAGAGTGGGCGGTTGCACGCTTTGGCCGGGGAGGGGGAAGCCTGCCAGGACCACGATGACTTACTGGAAAGGTACCTGGCCAGCCGTGAGCGGTCGGAGGCCCTGCCACACGAGCTTGGGGACCAGCCAGGCGTGCAGGCGCAGGGGTCGGAGCGAGCTGAGGCCCCCTTTCTGGCAGCCTTAGCAGACGGCTTCGACGAGTACCGCAATGTTGCGTACAATTTCAACGGCCAACCGTTTCTTCACGCCTCAGTGTGCGCCAGATCGGGTCGGGATGATTGCAAGGCCATCAATGTTTGTTGTGCTTGTGGTGCATATTTCAGTGCTGAGCGCCTGACGAAGGCCTCTTTTTTGCCGTGTCTCCGAGAGCTCGCGGGCTCGTGCCTGAAGTACCAGCTGGCACTGATCAAGGCTGGCAAGTGCCCCTCGTACAAGGCGGGTCTGAGGGACCTACGCCTCGACGCCCCAGTCGGCCCCCCGCTGGCGGACCAGCTGCGTTTGGCATCGTTGTTTGGCTCCGGCGAACCCGCCCCCAGTGCCCCGGCTCAGGACGTTGGGGGAGGGGGGCTGCGTGGGGTGGGTACCTCGGGGGGGATGACGTCCCGAGCCGAGGTGTTAGTGCCTTGGGCCTTCGCGAGGCTGACCTGGCGGCCACCCGCGCCGAATGGGCCAGACTCCTGCGCAAGGAGGCCCATGCTCATTCGGAATTCGAGGAGGCCTCTGATGCCTCCAGTGGCGGGCGCCGGGCGCCCTAACGCACCTGACTTCAGGCCGCTTGCTCATCTCATCTCATTTCATCTCACCTCCTCCCTCCTCCCCCTCCTCCTCCTTCTCCTCCTCCTCCTTTTTCGTTGGCCAGACCTTATGTGTGAACATGTGGCGTACTCTTCCTCCTCTTCCTCCTTTTCCTTCTCCTCCTCGCTCATCCTCCTGGCTCTTCGGGCCCTTTCCCGCCAGCGCCCTCCTGCGCCGCCGCCGCCCATCTGTCTTTCCTCCACCCCTCACACGTTCATTCCTCGTCCTTTTGATGGGCCGATTTCCCACCACCACTACCATAGGTAGGACGGGGGAGAAGGGAGGATGGGGAGGTCCTCCTCCTCCTCCTCCTCCTCCTCCTCCTCCTCTTCCTGCTCCTCCTCCTCCTCCTCCTCCTCCTCCTCCTCCTCCTCTTCCTCCCTCCCTCCCTCCCTCCCTCCCTCCCTCCCTCCCTCCCTCCCTCCTCCCTGTCCTACCTATGGTAGTGGCGGTGGACAATCGGCCTATCACCTTCCTCCCCGCTCTCCCTTGGTGAGCCGCGTCGCTCCTCGGCGCAGGGTGTGTGAGACGCAATATCTGAGGGGGGCGCGTGGCACAACAGAGTACCCGCCGGTCGTTGAAGTAGGCATATTGGGACGCCCAGGTCCCAATGTGTTTCAAGCGTCTTCCTACTTCAAGAACCGATCTGGTTTTGCTGTCTTTTGTTATTCTCTGGGAAGGCCTGGACCCAATCTACTTTGTCCGCCTTCATGCTTGATGTTTTACTGGCTTCTTCCGACCGACGGATGCCCTACCCTGCCTGAAGTGACGGCTTCGCCTGATCAGGTTCATCCAGCATATAGCCAAAGCGCCTCAGTGAGGATGAGCAATTTCCCAAAGTTGCCCTTGCATCCTTGCCCGTTCGGCCCATGCTTGGCAGCTGTCGCTGGCCAGCCCCGTCCGAGGATAGTCCACACGGCCTTCCATGGTCCCTGCGTCCCCGCATCCCTACCGCACATCATTATCATGCGTTCTGACTGTAGTCAACAGAGGAACAACCACCCCGACCCCGACAATTGGCGTTTATTGAACGGCCTTGGGCGTTTAATGAACAGCTTTGGGTGCATTTGCTAAATGGCTTTGCTTGCAGGGGTGTTTCTGACGTTTTTTTTCCAGCCCTCGATGCAGCTCCAGCAGCCACCTCTGCTCCCTCTGCCGTCCTCGCTGTACCTGCCAGGCCCCTCCCCCGCCGCCCCCGCACCGCCGCCCCCGCCGTGCGCCCCGCCGCCGCACTCCTCGCCCCGGCCGCCGCCGCCGCCGCCGCCGCCGCCGCCGCGGTCGTCGTCGTCGTCGTCGTCGTCGTCGTCGTCGTCGTCGTCGTCGTCGTCGTCGTCGTCGTCGTCAGCGCCGCCCGCACGTCCTCCGGCCTCTCAGAGGAAGGCGAGTGGAGGCAACGGCACTTGGCCTTCGGGGGGGGTCGGGGGCTCGTCGCCACGGCTGGGCGCAGCTCGGCGAGCTGTGCGTTGGGGCCCCGGGAGATGTCTGGGGGCCGCTTTTGAGCTGCCGCTGTCTCGATTCGCCCTGCTTCCACCCTCGTCCTCCAGCTCCTCGCCGCAGCGGCGGCGACGACAGCAAGAAGCAGAAGGACGAAGGCGGAAGCGGCGGTGGCAGCGGCGGCAGCGACGAGGGCGACGACGACGGCGCCGCCGCCGGAACCGATGCCCGCCCAGCCAATCCAGTCGCCCTTCGGCCGCGCCACCCCGCAGTCGCCGGAGGACCTGGGCGTGGGGGGGCCGCGGGCGCGAGGCGCGAGGCAACCTCCTCCCGGGGTGAAATATTTCGAACTTGCAGGTCGAGCATCGGGCAGCGCCGCCGCTACCCCACCGTCAGGCTCGAGGCGATACGATTCGCCGGCCGGGGCGGCGATTCTGATGAGTCTCATTCTCGGTTCACCGGCATCGGCTGGGACGAGCCGGAGCCAGGCGCGTCGATCCTATTCTGACGTGGTTCGGGATGCTATCCGATACGATCCGATTTCGTGCGCGATTCGACCGTGCTCAAGCTTGCCTCTCGTTCTCTATTCGGAAGTCTTCAAAATAAGTCTCCGTTGGAAGTCTTCGGACGTCTCTGTTGATTATTGGAGGCTTCCGACTCTGGATGATGTTCAACAGCTGCTTGCGCCTCACCGAGAGCGTTCTCGGAGTGCCTGGCGCGTCCCATCTCATATTGTATGCTGCCTGGCTGAAACCTGTCCCGTGAGCCGCGCAACGCGTAAGCAGGCCGTGTAGTTCCCTACCTAGGCTCTGCCTAGAAGGGTCCTTACACTGTATGCTTAAAGGGCCGGGCAGTGCAATTCGCCCCGGGCGGTTCCCCCAGTATCCGCCCCTTGGTTCCCCCAGTTACGTCCCCTCAGCTTAGCGTTGCTGATCTCGTCTTAGCTTAGCTCATTTCATTTTAGCTTAGCTTAGCTTCATCTTAGCTCAGGTGTATCTTAGCTAGCTTACCTTCATCTTAGCTTCGCTGAGCTTTAGCATAGCAGAGCACAGCATAGCATAGCATAGCGTAGCGTAGCATAGCGTAGCACAGCATATCATAGCGTAGCCCAACATATCATAGCGTAGCCCAGCATAGCATAGCATAGCGCAGCATAGCACAGCATAGCATAGCATAGCATAGCGCAGCACAGCACTGCACAGCATAGCACAGCGCAGCATATCATAGCATAGCATAGCATAGCGCAGCATAGCATGGCATGGCATTGCATAGCATAGCATAGCAACTAATGCTGCTTTCCTAGGGGCTCCAACTTCTAGGTAGGGTCGCACTGGGGTAATTTTCATAACCAATCGCGTTCCTTGTCATGTCATCGCCTGTGCTCGTTTGGGGGATAATGCGATAATGCTGGGGCCCACCTAACAGATCTGTTCGACTCTAGTTCCACCAAGAGCGATTCGAGTTCCACTGAGGTCGACTCAGGTTCAACTCCGGTTCGACTCAAGTTCGACTCAGGTTCGACGCAGCTTGGACACACGAGTAGAGCGAGTGGCTCTAGGGTTGTCCCCAGAATGAGCGTCTGGTAATTATGTCGCAGGTTAATTGGGGGAGTTCAAGGGGGCTTCTCGTGACTGCGGCTGGATCAGCGCCAAAATTCAGGCCAGAACGCACCCCGGGAGGGGCGGCGGCAGGTCGACTTGGAGGCCCAAACCCAGATCCCCTCGCGCCAAGAGCAAACCATGACATCAGGTTCTTGGCCACTTTCTGCTTCTGGTGGGGGCTCACGGGGCCCTGGGGCCATCGAGAGGCGGCCCAGTATGACCAAGCGGTCCCGCGGAAGGGGCCGAGGTTTACGGGGGCCCACGTGAATAGATGAAGACGCCGTGGGTTTTGGGTGCCCTTCCAAGGCTTGGGGGTCGCGTGGGTAGGGAAAGTGGCCGTCGATCCGGGGGTCGTGCAGAGCAGCTGGCTGTGACAGGGTGGCCTCACGTGTTCCTCGTCGTCTTGTGAACTTTGTTTCATTCGGCGTTTCTACATGGGCCGGAAGGGGGGGGAGGGGGGGCTGGCTCCAGACCTCTGCTTTGTGCGACTGTTTGCAACAGTGCGTCCCATGGCGGGGGACTCCACCTGCTCGAAACAGGCGCCCCAAACAGCCAAGATCTACTCCAGGGAGAGGGGGGGGAGGGGCGAGGGCCCGCGCCGATCGGTAGAAGAATGGGTCAGTAAACGACGACCGTCCTCCCCCTCCGCGTCCCTTCTCGCTCGCCCTCCGCGTCGGCGCGCGCCGGCCCTCGCGCGCGCGCCCGCGCGTGCCCGCGCGCGCCCGCGTTCGCGCCCGCGCTCGCGCCCGCGCTCGCGGCGGGCGGGGCGCGCGCGCGCTCGGCCCGCGCCGCCCCCCCGCGGGCGTGTGCTGCCCCCCCGACGAGCAAGTCGGGCACGTCCCGTCAAGCAGTGGCGAGGCGCCCCGGCTCGCCTATGGCCCTACCGAACAATGTGCTAAGAATCGGGGGCGGAAAAGAGGGGGGGGATGACCAGGGGGGGGGGGGGTATCATGGCGTGGGCCATGATATTTCCCCAGATTTCATGGCGTCTCTTCTCATTTCATTACGTCCCTAGCCCCCCCGCTGGGCCGCGCACATGCCGCCGGCCATGATTTGCACCCCCCCCTTCTTGGACACCCCCCTCTTGGCCGCTCCTGAAAGAACCTTTTTTGGGGTTTCCAGGAAATGTTCTTAGAACATTTCTGGCTGGGCCTGTCTTGTTTTAACACATCGGGTGCATGTTCTAAGAACTGTGTTGTTGTTCTTAGAACATTGCTGGGTTCTAAGAACTTTCCGTGGTATGACTATAGGAATGCCGGAACGGTCGGTCTCTGCTCAATCCCTCCACTGGAGGAATATTCATTTTTTTAAAGTCGGGAGACGAGTTGTTGAAGATGTTTCTCCATGTGGGAGTATTGTGTGACTATTTCTCATTTGTCGTCCAGAATCTGCCTGCAGGGGGACATGCCCGACCTAACCGACGACAGTTGGACGAGGATTCCAACCTCGTACAGCTGGCACTCGGGACGATCAAAACGGGTACGGAAAGATGGGGACGATGTCCAACAGCAGCTCCTGCTCACTATGAACAGGACTCGCTGTCCGCGCCGCCGCGGACGTTGCTCACTGAAGGCAAACAGCCGCCTGCCCAACAGCGGCCGCTGTCGGTTCTGGACAGCATTTGTTGTTTGGCATTGTACCCATCTTTTCCATACTCATCTCGGACGTCCAAAGGCAAGGTGGTCGAGGGCCGCCCTATGGTTTTGGAGGGGTGCCGATGATGATTGTGACGGTGATGAGGGCGATATTGATGATGATGGTGGTGGTGATGGCGGTGATGATGATGGTGGTATGGTTTTTGGGGTGGTGGTGAGGGTGGTGGTTTTGGTGGTGATGATGATGATGATGATGATGATTGTGATGAGGATGATGATGATGATGGTGATGATGATGATGCTGATGATGGTGATGATGATGACGATGCCGATGATGATGATGATGATGATGATGATGATCATGATGATGATGATCATGATGATGATGATGATGATGATGATGATGATGATGATGATGATGATGATGATGACGACGACGACGATGATGATGATGATGATGATGATGATGATGATGATGATGATGATGATGATGATGATGATGATGATGATGATGATGATGATGATGATGTTGTTTAAGGCGATTTCCCCCACAACCGGGTCACCCCCAGACCGACATCCAAGAGCCACGCGTGTGCGCAAGGGCCCGCCCCTGCTTGAGCGCCCAGGTCTAACCCCCTGGCCGGTCTGACCCGCCACGCCTGCGGCGAAGAAAAATAATATAACATGATGCCCTCCAAGTCCCGAGGAGGGAACTGCCAAACGTGGGTCCAGCAGGAAAGACGGTCCCGCTGTCATTCGTCCGTTGGTCCCCACATGGGAAGCGAAGCGAAACAAATCTTGCGTACAGGGGAACGTGCTGCTGCGATTGCGGGACTCCTTGAACGGCCCTGCCGGTGGTGGTGTCCCCTTGGCGGGCTTTGAATGCTGCTTCCACCCCAGGTGCTGGAGTCAACGACCAATGACCCCAAACAGTGGCCTTCGGAAGCCCAAGGACAAACCGGCGGTGGTACATGCGATGACCGTGAAAACAGTGTCGGGGGAAACCTGCAGACGAGTTGAAGGAAGCAGCTACCTGTCCCCCACCTGTCGCTCTAAAGAGGCTGCAGGTCGAAGCGGGGATAAGGCGCTTGTCCCCGTTGCAGTTGGCATGGCTGCTCCAGGGCATGCTTGTGGATTTATCGGCACTGCGTCTTTGCCTGCAGACGCTGAAGGCACTGCTCACCGGGCACTGGTCCCCACACAGTGCGTGCACATACGGTTCCGAACGTGGATAACGGAATAATTCTTCTGTATGGGGTCCACGCTGGCATATGTTGAAGATATGTAGCTGTGGAAGTAGCAGTAGAAGAGGGGTATGCAATGACGGAGTAGACGATGTAACGAACCCAAATGGAATAGTCCTCGACCGAAAGTGCACCCCCCGACGGCCACCTCGGCGATTTCCCCAACCACCGTTTCCCCAACAACCGACTCACTTCCAGACCGACATCCAAAAGCCACGCGTGTGCGCAAGGGCCCGCCCCTGCTTGAGCGCCCGGGTCTAACCCCCAAGCCGGTCTGATCCGCCACGCCTGCGGCGAAGGAAAGAATGATGAAGATGTTGATGATGATTATTATGATAAGATGATGATGATGACGATGATGTTGATGATGGTGATGATGATGTTGATGATGATGTTGATGTTGATGATGATGTTGATGATGTTGATGATTATGCTGCTGATGATGATGATGCTGGTGATGATGATGATGATGATGTTGATGGTGCTTGTGATGCTGATGATGCTGATGATGATGGTGATGATGATGAAGATGATGATGCTGATGCTGATGCTGATGCTGATGATGATGATGATGATGATGATGATGATGATGATGATGATGATGATGATGATGATGATGATGATGATGACGACGTCCCCCCCAACTCGCCGCCGCCGCAACCACTGTGACCAGCGGGGCTCGCTTGGAGCCGCGCGCCAGCCACGAGCCTCACGGGCGTGCCTCGCCGGAGGAGACGGCTGGGGCCCGCCCTCTCGGGGTGGTGGTGGGCGGAGGATGTTCGAAGAGGAGGCTCGGACAGGCTCGAGGAGAAAGCTCTCCATGAAGACGCTCGAGGAGCAGGAGGCTCGAGGAGGAGGAGCCTCAAGGAGGAGGATGTGGCTCGAGGAACAGGAGGCTCGAGGAGGAGAAGGCTCAAGGAGGAGGAGGAGGAGGAGGCTCGAGGAGGAGGGAGAGGAGGAGGAGGAGGAGGCTCGAAGAGGAGGAGGCTCGAAGAGTTGGAGGCTCAAGGAGTAGGAGGCTCGAGGAGGAGGCTTAGTAGGAGGCCCGAGGAGGCTCGACGGAGCCCTCGGCTCGGAGGGTCGCCCCCGCGATGGAGGGCGAACTGCAGGGCGTTATGGGGCTGCCCCCGCACTTTGTGCGGAGAGATGTGCACGGACTCCCGAAGGTCGAAGATCGAAGTAAGTACAGTCAAGACACTAAAGTAAGAACCACTGCGGGCTCAGGAGGGGCTCTGGTTTTCGGGTCGTTCCCTAGATCTGGGTCGGGGAACCGATTCGTCGCCGAGGCTCGCCGTGGCCAGAAGCGCTCCTTCGTTCCTTCTTCAGCGTTCCTTATGCTAGCACGGTGACTGTATCTAATGGCCTTCGGCAGAACCCGCCAGTGTGCAAGGGTTGTGGGTCGTAGGTTTCTAGGATGTTCGTCGGGATGTCGAGGGAGGTCTCTCGGGCGCCTTGTAGAGGCAGTTTGGGGAGCCTTCTGGGGCTCCTAACCCTTCTCCTGCAAGTTTCCTTCGTGCTCCATTATTATCCTTCCTCCCTGTCTCTTCAGTCCTCCGCTCCCTCCCCTGTTTTAGGGGCTGCGCCAACTACAGGTGACATGTAGGGAAGACATAACTCCAAGAGGGGGTACGATCGAAGACGATGAGGGTGAGTACCAAGGAAGGGCTTGGGATATACGTATCGAATGGCACGCGAGCAGATGACAGTGGACATTCTTAAAGTGGCTGTTGCTGCTGTTGTAGAGCAGCTGTTGTTGACACCCCGCCGGTGACTGTTGCATTTTCCAATTCATGGGCCCCTCTGGGGGCTCGCACCGCGTATTTTGGCAGGGGAATTCTGTGGCCACTGCCCCTGGTTTGCAACAACAGCGGCTTGATACTGCTTCACAAGGTATTTCGGATTCGCGCTCTCGCGCGGGACTTCTTCATGCTTTCTCCCTGAGTCGCGCTCTCGTGCTGTGCTTCCTCGCAATGTATTGCGGCGCCGTGCCTCCAAGACAAATCTCGCTCTCGCTGTGGGTTTCTAACGATTTGCTTGGGAATCGCGCTATCGTTCGAAACTTCCTTCATGATGGGTTGACGCTTTAGCGACCCGCCCGCTCGGCCGAGCCGTCTGGGCCCGCCAGACCTGCCCGTTAGGGTCCGCCCGCCCGACACGCAAGGACGGTCCAGCCACCTGTGCTGCTGCTGCTGCTGCTAACCTGCTAACCCTCCTGCAAATTTCCATCGTGCTCCACCCTTCTCCCTTTCCCCCTGTCTCTTCACTCCTCCCCTCCTTCCCCTGTTGTTGGGGCTGTGCCAACTACACGCGGCAGATAATCAAGATGTACCCCCGTGAGGGGGTACGATCAAAGACGATGAGAGCGTGAACCGAAGGTTTGGGATATACGTGTTGAACAGCACACGAGCAGATAAGAGCGAACAGTCGTGAAATGATTGTTGCTATTCTGGTTGTTGTTGTTGTTGTTGTTGTTGTTGTTGTTGTTGTTGTTGTTGTTGTTGTTGTTGTTGTTGAGCTGTCAGTCGTAAGGAATAAATGCGTTGGATCCTCCCTCCGGTGCACCTTGTGTTTTTCAATTGAAGTGCCTCCCGGGGCTCGCATTGTTTTTTCACAATGCAAAGTCTTGCGCCTCTGACTGAGTTGTCGGCCCCTGATGTACAACAGCGGCTCCCGCCTGACACGTACTCACAATTCGTTGATACATCGGCCTTTCGATGAGGATTCCGGGCAATTTTTCAAGGAATCGCGCTCTCGCCTGAGACTTCTTACATATGTTCCACGAGTCGTTCTCTCGGCTCTGTGGAATCGCGCTCTCGCTCGGGTCTTACTCATGAGCTACTCAGGAACCGCTCTCTCGGCTGAGCCTTACTTGACATCCCCTCTCGCTCATCACTCTCGCTAATCCCTTTCATCCTCCATTCTCGCCCTCCCTCCCTCTTGCCCCCTTTCCTCCTTCCCCCCCCTGCCTCCACTTCCTTCTCGCTCTCTTCCTTATTCAATTGGTAATGTTTTTCCTACT